AACAATAAGATCTGTAATAGAAGATGGATCTAGGTTGTTGGGAGCTTTGTATGTTAGAAGATTTTAAATTCCGAATTCTGAGAACTCTGATTTCTTTCCCCTCCCATAGATGATTATGGGATGTTGTTGATGGCTGAAGCCCTGCTGGAGGAATGTTTGCTGGAAAACATGGAGCTTTTACGGAGCTCCACCCCTGTGATGGACAACATTCAACCCAGACTGTCCACGGTTAAAGGTCACCTGAACACTATTCTGAGCAGAGGCCAGCTCACAGTCAGTCTCCTGGGCTTTATTCTTCATCCTTCAACAGTGTGGAAATACGTTACTGAAAGCATCTGGTAGAATCATTATTTGTCTTCAGCCAGTTCTGTCTTCCATGTTTTGTTGTCCTTCAGCCCAGGTATCTGAATGAAGCCCTGCTTCTGATGGCCAAGGTTCACTACGTGCAGGGCCGGTACCGAGACGCCCAGGGAATGTGTGCCCGGGTGGGCCTTGAGGAGCTGACCCAGGAGGACCAACCCACCTACCACCTCCGCTTACTGGCTGAGGCGTTTGTCATCAAAGGTACTCAGAATGAAAAGTGTAGGCTTTACGGGTCAACCAGGTGTTTTACTGCTGGTTATTTCTCTTCCAACAGCATTCCATCAATGGATAACTTTGTTTTTTATCTTTGACAGAAACTTTGCAGACAGGAAGTGTTGAGGGTTTATGAGTAGATATCCTAAAAAGGTGCAGAAATGGTCGGGTACCTTTTGTTTTCATACTGCGTGACGATGACTTTTAGTTTCTCTGTGACAAGATGGGTGATCATGTTCGACGTTATGGAACACGTTGGACAGAACCCCTCACTGTCCATGTTTGAAAACTCATCTCTACTCATGGGCCTTCAGCTTTAACGCGTCGTTTTGTTGAGTTTTAACTGAGTTTTAACTGAGTCTTTAGTTCATTGTGTGCTCGGCTTCGTAGCTTTGTTCTGATCTTACTCACCTCTGATGTTCAGCTGTTCGTTTCAGCTGCGGCTGCTGTTAAAGCGCTTTATAAATAAAGTTCTTGATGATGATGATGTTTGGAAAATCCCTTCACAGGACTTAATTTGTAAAACAAATAATGCTGGAAAGCAAATAGCAGGCGGGTGGGGGGCGGGGGTGCTCCCCCAGAAAATTTTAAATAAACTAGATGCCATTTCCTGCATTCTGGTGTATCTGACAAAGGTTTATTACCGTAGAGTAACATGAAATAAAGATGTAAACTCATTTATTATTGAAATCTCTCTGACTGCCAAACGTTCATGATGCTGAACAGCAGCAGCAGCTCTGCAGGTGAGGGGTAGGGGTGCACCGACTGCACTTTTCTGCCCTATCACCCATTTCTAAAAGGCCCGAGCTGCCGATTCTGATTTAGTTTTATAAGCGACACTGTCAGGTGTTGTAAGGTCACAATGCACCTTCAGTTTTCCATCTTCTTTGATTGAAAAATGTTCCCACGAACAACATCCCATTCAGTTCAGTTGATTTCTATGGAGCCAAGTCAGAACAGAAGTCGTCTCAGGGCTCTGGACAGAAACGTTCATATTTAAAAATAATAAGTTATCACTAAATAAGTGTGAATGCTTATTGCTTAAGAATAAAAAAAAACAGCTGAAAGAATTTTGAAATATCATAAGGAAGCAGAACGTGCACAATTGTTCCTAATGCAATGGACTGCCAGGCTGCAGCTGATCTAAACTGCTGACGGGACAGTGCTGTGTGCTGGGGTTCGCTCTCAGCTACCACTAAACCAAATTTCAGCTGAATAGCCCTAAAGATGACACAGTTACTCTATCTTTTCCTTTTTAGCAAAGGCGGCCATCTTGGATTTTTGATTTGGATGCAGTATGTGATAGGGAACGTTCTCAGCTGTAACCTCAACAAATTTCAGCTCTTTGTGTAAAACTGGCCGAGTTAAACAGATTCAAAGGTGCTGTTGGGGCCATCTTGGATTGTTGATTTTCATGCAGCATTTGATGGGAGACATTGTCAACTATTATCACACCAACTTTCAGCTAAATATGACTAAAACTGGCTGATTTATAGTATTTCTCCTTTTTTGCTAAGGTGGCCATTTTGGATTTTTGATTTTCAGTCAGAGTCTATTAGGGATTGTTGTCAGCTACCAACAGCTTTATTTCTACAGGTTAATCCCATTGAGCCTCGGGGACTCATTTACAAGAGAGACCTGCTGGATAGCTCTAAAAATGGCAGCGTTATCCTAGTTTTTCTATAAAACAGCTGAATAGTAGCTAATGAAATGTAGAAAGAAGCTTAAATTTCCAAAAGGAAGTGGAGGGAGCTTAATTGTGTCCACTAATGTTGAAAGAAGCAGAAATTAGTACAATAAAGTTTAAATTATCTGAGAAAAGCTTACATTAGCC